TGCTGAAGTATAGGAACAGGCACGGTCTCGATCTAGCACTGCCTCTGGCTAGTCCTGCTTTTCCCTTGAACTCGTTGAACAGGAAACCTAAGACTTATGGCACTGCTTCATTTTTATTCCAGTTGGTGAACAGTACTATAATCATGGTTAAGTATCAAATCTAGTCTACTTTTACACAGTTTTCTTTAGAATTAATTCTTACTTGGTAGTTAATTTATCGCAGTGGTGGTTTCAGAGGTTGACTGTGTCCTGACACCTCTAAAAACTTGCAGGGAAACATAAATACTCACACCAAACTCTCAGTGAGAAGCTTCTTAACAGGTAAGAGGTGTTTAGTGCCAAAACGTAACGCTCACGTACACAACAGTTTAGCAGCCTTAGCACAATGCTAAATCATGCCGTGTCCAGGGCACTCTCCTGGGACTGTTAGAAAAAAGTACCTTTCCTTCAGAAACATCCTTGTTAAATCATCCTCTACAAATAACTAAAGGGACGCTTTATATGGGCATGAGAATTCAAGAGGGCTCACTGTACATATTTCCCTAAGCAATGAGACTGAATTATAGCAGGCACCCCAGCTGCAAGAGAGAAGCTAGCTAGGTATATAGCACCAGATACCAGTCACCTAGAGCACTTCAAGCTTAGGAGCCAAAACTGTCAAGTCTCAGAGGTATGGCACCACATGAAAATGTAAACAAACCGAATAGTCAAATGTTGTAGAGAAAAAAAAAAAAAAAAAGCCAAACCAAACCAAACCCACAAACCAGTGGAGCCTGTTGTGCCTTCAAATACAGGAACATGAACAAATGGAAGTGAGGCATATTCAGATCTATTTCATCCGTATAGAGGTTGCCCTCATGGGCAACAGTCCCAGGCCAGGTGGTGAAGAGCTGCTCTCGTGATCTGCACAAGCAGCGTGCCTGGTGGCCGAGCAGCGGCTCAGCTTCAGTCAGCCTTTTTGGTTATTCGACCCATCTTGGTGCGGATGTTCCGTAGCAAGAAGAAGGCGACGGTGCTGACAGTACATGTTATCTCAGCCACCCAGAAGGCTGTGGCCCAGCTGTAGTGCTTAGCAATGGTACTGAAGGGCAGCCCAGCCAGGAATCCACCCACTGCAAGAGAGAGGGAGAAGAGTTAGGGAACTCTGGCTGCTGTTAATGCTTTTCTCCTGGCTCTGGTCCATGCACTTACTAAACTCCTCCAACACATATAAGGGCTTTTAAGTACTAACACGGGCATAGCTGGGATCATCCATACTCTTCCTAAGAGAACAGAGCTGGTGGCCTACTAGGTCCCAACTTGGTTTCTTTGTCAGACATCTGCAACCATCCGTTCCTCCTGAACTTCAGGTTTTCACTAGGAGAAACCCCTTAGGGCAGCACAATTGGAAACACTGAAAAAGGCCCTCAGAGCACCTAGTCCAGTCCCCTGCTGGGGGTAGGATCATCCCCATCTAAGCCATCTGCTCTTAAACACTTCCATGGATGGGAATTCTACAACCTTCCTAGGTCCTCGTTTCCAATGCTCGACTGGTTCTTGATCCATGCCCAGTCTCGCTTGGCTAACACAAACAAGCCACAACTCGAAGCAGCTGCACAGTCCTCCTTATGCACAAATAAGATATTACGCAAATGGAAGGTGGTCTGAATGCTAATACCTCACAGAAAAGTCACCCAACCCTGTCCTCTGCCCGTTGGTAGGTAACAGGGCTACCAAGTTTTTCTTGGGTAATTTGGAAGACAGTTACTGCAGCCTTCTCATTCAAGGGGCCACAGGGCTGAAACTGCTTATGAAGGCAGTGCGCTGGTGACAGCCTATTCCTTGTGGAGAGAGAATGCACACAACCCCTAGGCCTGGCACATCACAGGAAACCGACAGCTAAGCAGTACCACAGCAAAGACACTTGGCACCTGGGGCAAACCTGCAGCAGCAGCTGGCCCACACCCTGCACGCAGATCCTGGGGGCACACGCCCTCCCATGCTTGCCCAGGAGTGCACGCAGTGGCTGGGGCTGCCTTCCCCATCCCCTCGCAAACAAGCTGCTCATGGCTCTGTCCTCCACTGAGCAGCGCCCGTTAGCTCTCCTTCGCTTCGGCGCCTGGGCTGGTCACCCCGCTCACCCCCCACTTGCTACGGTACCAGGTTTGATTATTGCCAGAGCAGAGGAGCTATCAAAGTTTAGGCCATGGGGGACAATGTCTCATGTAGTGGAGCCAGATAGTATTTCAACCTGAGGTCAGTTAAACGCATCTGAGCTTTGGACCCAAACACTTCTTCACAACAGGGTCATTTCTACTATGATCCAGCCCCATCCAGTTCTCAGAATCCTGGAAATGACTTGCATTGGTGTGCATGTTTGAAGGGTGTTTTCCTGACGAGTTAACCTTCTGTGTACTGACTTCTTATAGGTCACCCATCACTGGACCAGTAAAGGTACAAAATCAGCAAATTAACTGGGGGCTCTAACACTAAGGGATTAAGTAAGAGCCTCCCAAGCCCGTTCTGCACTTAACACCTTGTCTGCCTGACTCAGTGCTAAAGCCACCCTGTTAAGAACGTGGATTTCTAGACTCTAAAGGTTTAGTGCAGAACACAGGTCTGCGCAAGGCCCCAGAGCCCTTCCTGATGGGCTGCAGAACAGAACAGCAGGCGTCAGCCATGCAGTCAGCAAGTCAGTCAATGAAACTGCAGATCTGCAGAGATCTGCCATCGTTATGGACTAGGCACAGACAACTTCAGAGCCATTCCTTTCCACTTCTCATCAGCTGCACTACGCGAGACAGGCTGTTGCATTAGTGAGCAGTGACTGACTGTACCAACAGACCACTTCAGTCACAGAATCTACAAATCGGTGCCAATTTGGAATTTATTCTGCCAAACTACGACCAGCAAGAACAGATGTTTGTTTCAGCTGCAGAATCAAAGTTCCCAGTTTCTTTTCTTTTTTTGGGGGTGGGGGGAAGCAAGCAGGATGTCACTCACCGTTTGCCATTAGTGCTACAATAGCATGGGAGGTGCCACACAGGTTGGAAGGCGCACTCTCGTTGGCTATCACTCCAAACAGTGCGATAGGTCCGTAAGAGGAGAACCCAAAGATCGCTCCTAGTGTCAGTATCCACAGCTGTCAAAACAAGCAGAGAAGGATCAGAAACAGCAGCCTTACAGTCTGACTGCTACTGGTCAGCCACAGCCACTAGGCAGCTTTCTGAAACGGGCTGCAGACAGAACCTCAAACTGCCTCCGTGTTTTTTTCTGGCTGGCGCTGTATTCAGGTCCAGAGAACACAGAACCTGACCAGGAGACAGACCGACTCTACAGCACACATTTGTAAGATGGCTTAGAGTCCAATTCAAGACTGACTCGACTGGCCGATACCTTATTAACTCGACAGAAAGAGCTCTGCTCCTGCCTGCAATTCTCAACGCATCTGAATGGACACATACCACGACCTAACATGCAACCTGGGAAAAAAATAAAGGCACGTATTCTATGCTGTGTCCAAGTTCTATTTCATGAGCTTTCAACCACAGTGGAACAGGTTTGCTTCACAGAACCAGTCCCTTAAATCCCTTAAACCAATCCCTTAAAAAACCATAATAATTCTGGAGAGTGTTGTTTTAGACACACACACACGATCAAGATATTAGTATCGGTGTAACAAACCCAGCTCTCTATTATGATGTTTTATTACAAAGCAGTCGGTCAGTTTGAGCATCGGCTTCAAGGCTAGAATGTACTCTAACAGAACTTGTCAAGTATTTCAGCAGTGATGCCCATCTGAAACAAAGCATTTCCAGTACTTTGTTCATCTCTACAAATCTCAGATGGAAAATGATAAAGTGCTTTATAGATCCATCGAAACTTCAAAGGGGTAGGAAGTAAAAGTAGCTTCTCTTTACAAACAAGGACACTGGCAAAGTGATGGGAAACGATTTGACAAATCAGAGGAAGTCAGTGACCCCATTAAACGCTGAAACGAGGTCTCTGTGCTTAACATGTATGGCTGCTGGTAGCTGCCCAGACTGGAGTATCTTGTCTGGAAAACAACCACCCTCAGAACCTGTCACTGTTCTGTATCCGCTTTATTAAAATGCAGTTAGTTTAGTAACATCGATTTATGAGAAAGTTTCTTTTAGAAAAGACTTACAGTGCTCTTAAGCCCCTGGTTATACATCCTGCAGAATTAACCAACCTTTCAGAGCAGGAAAGAGGGAGATCGGTAAAAGCAGAAGCAGGTAGAGGGAAAGAAAAATGCAAGGCAGAAACCTCATGTTCTTTTAAGCCTGTCAGGACAGCAAGAGGATGCAAGGCTACAATCCAGAAGTCATTTTCCTGGGGGAAAACACAAGGGTAGAAGTGAAATTCCATTTATTTAGCAAGTCTCCAGACAAGTTCGGTTCGCCTGCACTGCGGTGCAGCATTCCAGAGGTAGTTGTGGCTGTGCTAGCTCTAGTAACGGATCTCTCGTGCTTCCCAGCAGTGTGCACGAACCCAGAGAAAGCACACGTGCATGCATCTGGCAAGGGGGCTGGACAAACCAGCCACGGTCCTTGCTATCCAAAGATGCCCTGACACTTCTGCCACTTGCAAACAATTAGTCTGAGGTCCAAACTTGCTGCAGTCCTGACATTTAGCTTCGTTAGAAGCTGAAACACGCTCCCTCCCAGCAGAATCCTCAGTTTAAGCTTTTCACCAAGCTGATTACTCACAGGTTCCTTCCCTGCCTCAAACCCTGGTTTTCTCTGGACAGCTAGTCCCTGCATCGAGTCTGACTTCTATCAAGGCACCCAGTTTTGGAGAAAGAAGAGCATGTGACAAATCACCGCTGCGTCCACAGGTTAAGTGTTCATGCTCTTAAGTTTTCCATTTACTTCTACGCTGAATGTGTCTGGCTTCAACTTCCAGTCCCTGGATTTTGTTACACTGCTGACAAACAGGCCGATCCAGCAAGGGCCTGGCATACCTCTATAAAGTCAGATCCTACCACCTCATACTACTAGAACGACTGCCAACACCACTTACCGTGGACAGCAGTTGAAAAAGCAGAGGAACAAAGTATCTATTTACTTTGTACATCTGGCTCTATGTATACAGCTGGTTTCACTGTTCCCTCTGCACAGTCATTCGGTCTCCCTTGTCTCTAACAGTCTTTCAGGTAGCAAAAATGGAAAGAACCACCGGCACAAATGACAGGCAAATTACCAGAATCAGAGGACTTGGAGACCCAAAATGACTGCAGCTGTCTTTACGGAACTGATTTGTCTTTGGGTCAACAATGGTGCTTTGGTTTGTACATGTTCAGTGAACTTAATCCCAGCCCAGATGAGGAGGGTCTAAAGCAGGGCTCCCGAAGGCTGCACAAGTTGCATTTAGTTTTTTATAGACGGCTTCAAACGGGATGCCCACAATTGCCGTGCAGCATCGGGCCAGGCTCAACTAGCAAGATTTGCCAGCAGAATTCCAGTGCGTCCGCACCGCAAATCACAGCATTTCAACCACCTCTGCCATTCAGAGTGTGCTGTACACTCCCGTACCTTCTCTTCGCTGCCGCGGTCTGTTCAGCATCGGGTGCCTTCCCAAGTTGTAAGGAATGCACTGGCACCACAGCTGCTGAGTGGAGCCACCAGAAATACAGATGTACACACACACAGGCAGCAGCATATTAAACTTCTCAGAGCAGGAGTCACAGGATTCAGCAAGGACACCCTGAACTCAGTACTGGTATTTGTGCATTCTTCCTTAACAGCTGGACTGAGCTCTCTGAAGTGGGCATGATCCCTCCTGTACAGCAAGTAGTACTGTGCACACTGCTGGAAATCTAAGTGACCCCTCCCTCAAAGCCCCCACCTGCCCCCCAGTTCTACCGTTTCCACGCAGAGTGTCCACTCCCCCAAACAGGACTCCCCCCTGTAACCCGTGGTAGCCAGTGCTTGGGCGAATGCAAGGACATTCACTGCTGACCCAGCACACACTGCTTGTGCATGGCGTTACCTTAGGAGACTCGCTTGTGACCGTGACCCGGAAAAGATACATGGAAGCAGACATCCCAGCCATCATGGAAAGAAGGAGCACGTGCCGAGGGTTCCCATAGCTCGACAGGCCTACCTGAAATGCATATAGGAACAGCTGGAGCACATGGACAGACCATGGGAGGCATTAATACAAACTTAGAGTCATCAAATTGAACTCTGAAAGGGACCGCTGATCATCTACGGCCTGACAGTCTGTGTGTCCCACCCAGAACCACACCCAATCATTTCCGCATTGATCCATGCCCTCTGCTCGAGTTATACTGGCTTCTAGTTCTGTTTATGATGGGGCAAATGATGAATCCACATCCCTAGGCAAGTTGTTTCAATGGTTAACTATTGTTGCAGGCTGGCACCTCATTTTCAGTCTGAAGTCACCTGCTTCAGCCTCCAGCTGCTGGACTTTAGCATGGTTTTTCCTGGTAGATTAAGAGTCTTCTAGCATCAGAAGTCTCTTCCCCCTGGGGAAGTGTGCAGGTCATCACTGCACCACCTCTTATCTCCTGATGAACTAGACTGGATTTCCTTCATGCGCTTCTTTCACACCAAGAACGGCCACCTCGACTACCGAGTGGTCAGTCACTCCCAACCTCAACACAGCTCACTGGATTTTCAAGAGCCCAAAGGGATTAGGCAACTAAGTCCCACTCAAGCAGGAAATGCACATTTTCTGCTTCAGGCACTTCTGAAAATCCCCAGTGTTAGGGAAGAGATGCCAGGGCCTTAACAAGCAGTAAACAAGCCAGAATTTGAAAGCACCAGCAGATCTGCATCAGCAGTACTTGGCTATCCAGAGGCTGTGCTGCACGTGGCTAGAATGATATCCAGAGCCAGTTGCCACATATGTTTAAGGGTTTGCACCGAGACCTGTCACCTTTGTAGAAGGGATAAGGTTTCAGGCTACTTACTCGTGCCACTGCTCTGTCAGAAAGGTACCCAGCAGCAATGCTTCCTACCAGGCCACCAATCTCCAAGGCACTCATATACGAACTGCCTAGAATGCAGGTAAAGGAGGACAGACCTTCAGATCCAAGCAAAAAAACCCAAAAACCTCATGCAGTTTCTTTTTAGTGGCTTACACTTGTGCACGGACTGGCATAGAACAAAGGCAGCACCAAGGAGAACGAAGCAGCCACCGAGATCCTTATGTGTAGCCTTGTTTCTCAGTCTCCCTGGTTCTCTCAGAGCTGGATGCTCACAGTGGTTTGTCTTGTTTTACATGTTTTGTGTTTGGGTCAAAGTGCAACCCTGACGGCCCACAAAACACGTGTCTGACCACAAAGCAGTCAGACCCCAGCAGCGCTAGCCTGATCACAAGGGGCAATGGCACTTGCCTCCAAGAACAGCTTCAAGGAGCAAGGGGGTGGGAAGCCAGTCTCCAGGACTTAGGGAGCCTCTGGTCTGTCAAGCTCATTTTTGCTCTAGTGCTGGCTGTTTCTTGAACACGGATGCCAGGTCAATAAGGCTGAGCAGAGTCCCATGACCTTATTTCATTCCAGCCCCAAGCAGGCCAACAGGTTGGCTGCTACCAGCCGGAGCTCAGTTTGAACCTGCGAGCCAGGGTGGAAGCACATGCATCCCTTCACCATTCCTCTGCACTGTTCAGTGTCCCCCATCATTTTGGCTGGGATCCACAGGCCCCTAAATCCTATTACAGTTGGAGTTCAGCACTCAGCTCCACAAAGCACATTTCACCCACAGCAACAGTAAGTGTTAAAATGAAGCAACCGTATCCTACCCACAAGTGCAGACTGTCCTCTCTCCTGGATCAGGAAGAGCTGACCCCAGTCTGTACAGCAAGTTTTCACTCCAAAAACCACCAGGTAGCCGGTTGAGAGGACCCAGAGGTATGGCGAGAGCAGCAGCTCTGTAAGGGTGCTATCGTCCCTGGAGGGGCCTGGAAGGAAACCAAACAAACACACCAGTAGAAATACCATGACTGTTTGAACAGGCCTGTCACCTGCGGTCTGCACGGTGCCTCTGTGATCTCCTCTGTACAGCAGGAAGTGCTTCGTAACAACCGAGCATCTCATCTGAAGATAAGAGCCGTTCACAGTAATGCTGAACTGCTGTTCCTCCCGCTTCCCTCCACACCTGGCCCTGCAGCAGTGTCAGCATGAACCTGCACGTGGCACTTGCATCTTTGTTAAAGAGCTCACAGGAATAAGCTGCGTGTCCCCAATAATAATAGTTCTCCATTATGAACTCTTTCCATCAGATGCTTTGCCTGCCTGTCCAAGGTTTTTTTCTAACCTGAAAACTATGAGATGCCAAAGGCAACAGCCCAAGCCTTGTGTGGCAATACAGAAGTCAGTACATACATTTTTCAGCAGCTTCTAAACTCCAGCAGCAGCCCCTTATGCTGCAATAGACTTCAACCCCTTTTGCTTTCAAGAGGAAGTGTCATGGTCAATGAATCGAACCAGCAATCATTAACTAGCTGTCCTAGCTGAGGATACAGAACGTTGAACCCTGGTTTGGAGTGGACTCTGCTCAGCAAAATAAGAGGCACGACCCTTTGTCCACAGGGGAGGTGGAGCTGTGCCAAAAGAGGCACTAACCTCTGCCGTCCTCCACTGCACCCCTGCGCCTTCCAGAAAACCTTGGGCCACCACATTAGTGAGCTAGCCCCTGCAAGGAACAGGGCAGTGTTAATGGAGGGGGCTGCTGACAGATGGAGAGACCAGGGCGTACACAACAGACGCCAGCTGCTGATGTCAGTGGCCGACTGGCAGTGACAAATGGAACCAAATGTGAATCGGGACCTCCCCTCGCCCCGCTGGATTCTGCTACATGGATGTCCTCCCAACCCAGACACGGGGACCTCATGCTGCCATGCACAAACATACTCCCTACAAGCACTGGCTTTGCTGGTCACCAGAACCAAGGGCCACCCTCAGGTCTGAAACAGGATGCTGCTGCGGGCAGGAATGGCTGCTGGCCCAAGGCAGGAGGCAGTCATGCAACAGGGTGATGAAGACATCCCACCTCCTCCTGCTGCTGCTGCCTCTGCTTGCTTGGAAGATGAAGTCCAACACTCACCCTTTTTCCCCTTGCTGGCTCCTGCTTCAATGCTGGGGAGCCCAACATCTGACGGCTCATTCTTAATCAGGGCAAGGCAAACAAAGGAGGCGCCCACACAGATGAAGCCAGAGATGGACAGAGTCGTGCGCCAGTCGTAGCTCAGAGCCATCAGGGCAGCGACAATGGGGCCCAGCCCCCCAGCCAGATTCATGCTGGTGGAGAGGATTGCCCACCATGTCCCAAACTGGGAAGGCTCAAACCACTGTGCAAAAGGGAGAGAAAGCAAGCAAAGAAACTTAAGCAACTTGCTACGAACCAAAGGGGCACCGTGCTCAGAGCAGCAGCAAAACCAAAGAAGGGGCCTGCAAGGGTGGTCCCTGGCAATGCTGACCGGACTAAATCGATGCTTTACTGCATCCCGTGCCAAACAGGGAACTCTGTGCATTCTCCAAGGGCTACACGAGCCTCGCAAGGCCTCACGTAAGGCGACCTGGAATCACTTCCATTTAGAAACCAGGACAGCAAGGCAATAAAAACGTAGGGATGCAGATAATCAGATCCACTCTCGGTCGAGAGCCGGTCACCCTGAATACGTTTGCCTGCATTGGACTTCAGAATAAATAACCACACCGGGCTCTCGGGTGCCATTGCAGAGGCCCATTCTGTGAGACAGTCCACCCAGCTCCCCCCAGACATGGGTTTACTGAGAGCGCCGTGCAAATTCAAACACTGTTCACAAGCAAGTGACTGTAGGGCTCAGGCCTGCTTCTAGCACAGCCAGTGGCAGGACTGCTGCTCGCTGCAAAGGGAGCAGGATGAGGCCCCGGCGCTCGGATGCCAGAAAGGAGCATTATTCAATATTCTGTCCTCGTGACTGAGAGCGTCTCCCTCCACGCGCTGCTCTACAGGAGGACTCCTTCAGATCAACCTACTACCCAGGACACAGCAGGGGAAGTGCTTCAGGCTTTGCAAGAAGAGAAGCCTCACAAAGGTGAGCGCTTATTTCCCCCCAGGCATGCGCAGTCCTCCTCTCCACACCCCCGAGAACCAGTCTGGCCTGCAGACACAAATGGGGCTCTCAGTTCCAGCACCCACTTTGAACGCCTTCAAGACACATTTGGATGCTGATCTTGCTGGGATCCTGTGATCCCTGCTGACTTCCTGCCCCTGGGGCGGGGGGCTGGACTCGATGATCCTCCGGGGTCCCTTCCAGCCCGAATGTCTATGAAATCTATGAAGAGTGTGAACTTCCGAAGCAACGCCTGCCTTCGGCCTGCCACAGCAGGAGCTGCTTCCACAAACACTGGCCCCTTGCTGCATCGAGTTCCTCACTTCCCCCCTCCCCAGCCCTGCTGCATGGACATGTCCCACTTTGGTTTTTCACTGCGGTCTATATAGACAGTTCATGTAATATTCTGTCTGTCACTTGATATTCTGCCTAGTCAGACTAGGTTTTTATCTGCTGGGCTCAGGAAGGTTAACATTTGACCAAAAATATCTCAAAATGAAATGTGATATGGCCTGTGCCTTGTAGCTCAGGTCCCCTCTGTCAATCCAAACCAAATGCTGTCTCTCGCTCGCTCTTAGCAGGGGACAGTTATGACGGCAAAGTGCGAGCTCTTGGTCTTTGGACATGCGGGACTGGATTCGAGCAACCAGGGCTGCCCATGCCTACAGGGTCCCATTGCTAGGGAGCTTCAGTTGTCCAACTATGAGCAGAAACAAAAGCTTCCGGCTCCAGACAAATTAACCGACTGACTTTGCAACCTTTGCATTCGTAGCCTGTAGACGCACCGCAGGTGCTTGGGGTCCACAGCCAAGCCCAGAAGGGACTAGAGGACCTGGAAGTTTGCTCACTGACAGCACTCCCAGAGCGGTTTCTCAGTGCAGGAGCTGCTACGAGCCTCACAAGACAATCCTCGTCTTCAGGAATCAGCCTTTTCTCAGGGCCTCCTGGGCTCCCCCCTCTCCCTCCCGCCAAGAAGAGGGTACGAGGCATCCTTACTTTTCGCAGCACCTTCCCGCAGGGAGGCCATCCCAGTCCCTGGGCCAAGCCATTCAGGAACCACAGCCCAGAGAAGACTGCGACCGTCGAGCTCCAGGAGAAGGCCACGTTGACTAGGCCCACCAGCAGCAGGCCAGACGAGAAGAGCCAGCGGGCACTCATCTGATCCGAGAGAACACCGCTGATGAATTTGCTGATTGCGTAGGCGGCCGACTGGCTGCTGGTGATGAGGCCTGCAGGGAGGGAGAGCCCAAAAGAGAAGCATCAGCAACACCTTCAGAAACAACGAAGCGCCCTGTCTGGCGCTCCTGGGGCCGCTCCAGGAGACATTATCCCGGCAAAAGTGAACCGTGCTAGAGACCAGAACGAGAGCTGGCTCCGAGATGATTTGCTACAGAGCAACTGGGGTTCAAAGCAGGACACAGCCTTCACTATTAACACCTCAGCAGAGATGCCACAATATGCTTCCCCTGCGGATTGCAAGCACCTCTGCTTATCCGCCTGCTGTCTCCCAACGAAACAGGCAAAATGCACTAGGACAGCCAAAGAGAGAAATCATTTTGGGGGAAGCCTTCAGGTCAGGACTGCCTGCAAGCAGGGGACTGGACCCACGTCCCAGGACGCCGCCTCCAGCCCAACAACCCAGCAGGCTCCTTAACACTTCTCTCTGCATTTGTTCCTTCCGTAAAGTCCAACTCATGTTGAAGGTCCTCTCATCGCTCAGGTTTGGGGACGAAATCTGTCTGCGGCTCAGCAAATCACAGATCGCTTTGAGCTGCGTGCGTTGGACGGGCGTCAGACTCGTGTGACGAGGTGCAAGCTCCCAGGTTGGGCGCAACACTGCACGGCAGACGCAGGTGACACGACTTGCTGGGATTTCCCCCCTCTTCAGTTTGTGACCCTTGCAGAGCCACGGGCCCAACGACTATAGGGGACACGTGCTAATTAAGCCCAACGGGCAGTGGTGGGGACGGGCGGGGAATCACGGCCACTCGCACCAAAATACAAAGCTCTCCTCCTCCGCTGAGGAGCTCGGTGGGACCCTCCCGCAGAGGCCGGGCGGCCGAGGCACGGCGCGCTACACCCCGTCCGACCACACCGGCGCGGCGGTCCGCTCCCACGTGAACTAATGGCCACGGAGATGCTAGAGGAGGGAGACGGGACCTTTCTGGCCCTGGATTTGTAATGCTAATTTGATAGGAAACCCTCGCAAAGCCTTGAAGCCAGGCAGCACCGGGAAGCGGGCTGGCAGCAACGCCGCGGGCGCCCCCGGAGACCGTCCTTACCCAAGTCGTCCTTGTCCAGCTGTATCTCCGCCATGACCGAGGGCATCACGAACGAGAACGTTTTCCTGTTGAAGTAGTAGAGCGTGTAGCCCGCGAACATGGCCGCGAAGATCACCGCCCGGTAGTAGC